GGGAAGGATGAAAGTCCATAGGAACAAAATTTAGGTTGCTTGACCTGTTGCCCTTCATCTTACTGAAATTCTTCTTTTAATGATAAATTCTTGTGTTTTCTAATAAAAGGATGACAATTTCTTTACTGTTTTATTATTTACAACAGTGTATATTTCTTAAAATACAGAGGCAGTTTTCATTACCAAGGTGAATCTTTATGCTATTTTATTATTTGTGGTAGAAAACCATTAGAGAACTTGATTAAAATTAGTCATATGCTAATTATGTTAAAAAATAATAACTAACTTAAATAAGAGCTCACCATGGTTTTGGTATTACACCAAGCACTTTATATGATTTATCTCATTTAACATTCAGACCAATCCTATGAATTATTGTTATTATTATTTCTATATTACAGATGAGGAAAGTGAGATTTAGACATCTTAAATAAATTGCCCAAAGTCACACCATTGTGGCAGAGCCTGGATTCACGCTCAGGTCAGACTCCAAAATCCACTCTGAATTACCACCCTGTAACGACTTGATGAAGAGTTGTTGGGTGGCACAAACAGTTAAGTGCTGGTCTACTAACCAAAAGGTTGGCTGTTCAAACTCACCCAGAGGTGCCTCAGAAGAAAGGCCTGGCAATTTGTTTCTGAAAGGTCACAGCCATGAAAACCCTAAGGAGCACAGTTCTACTCTGAAACACATGGGGTTGCTATGAGTCAGAATAGACCATATGGCAACTGGTTTAATAACTTGATGAGGGGATAGTGGTGGTTTAGTGGTAGAATTTTCGTCTTCCATATGGGAGATCCAGGTTCAGGTTCCTGCCGATGCACCTCAAGCACAGCCACCACCTGTCTGTCAGTGGAGGATTGCCATGTTGCTATGATGGTGAACAGGTTTCAGTGTTGCTGACACAGTAAGACTAAAAGACAGATTAAGAAGAAAAGACCTGAAGAGCAACTTTTGAAAATTCAACCAATGAAAACCCTATGGATCACAACAGTCCACTTCTGCTGTGCATGGGGTTGCCATGAGTCATGGCCAACTGGATAGCAGCTAACACAACAACTTTCTTGATGAAGTCCCTGGGTAGTGCAAACGGTTAATGTGTTCAGCTGAAAACCAAAAAGTTGGAGATTCGTGTGCACCCAGAGGCCTCTGAAGAAAGGCCTGGTGACCTACTTCCAAAATAATCAGACACTGAAAACCCCATGGAGCACAGTTCTACTCTGACAGACATGGGTCGTCATGACTCAGAGTTGACTCGATGGCAACTGGTTTTTTTTTTTTACTGACTTGATGCTACTTGTCTTTTATTGTTCCAAAAAGTATCACGGCTACTTTACACATGGAGTGTAATGGTTTTCTTGATACTCTTGTAGCAACTTTGTCCATAACTCTGTCAAAATTGGATACTGAAATAGTGCATAAAAAATTATATGAAGAGAATATGAAATGGAAACAATCCAAACCCACAAACTGCACATTCTATTCTGTGGTCATGCTAGGATAGGAAGGGATATTATCAAATTTAAAGACAGCAGAGGAAGTTCTTTCGTAAAATACTCTCTAAGCTTATAAAATAATTGCTTTTAATATTTTGAGTAAAATATGGACTGGGCAGTGTTTTGTCCTGTTGTACATAGGGTCGCTACGAGTCAAAACTGAACCGACAGCACCTAATAACAACAGAATGGACATTTAAGAATGTAGAGTAGGTAAAATTGGTTGCAGGATAAAATTTGAAGAAAAAAAAACCAACACAAGTAGAGTTTTATTTAAACAAATCAGTGTGTTTACCAATTGCATGTTTTGGTTTTCATTTACAAGTTGATTTTATTTGTACTAATCCACTTATGTGTGTTAATGAATATGCTTAGAAGGAAAAAACATGTATCACTAGAAAAATCTGAGCCATTTCTACCATGAGACATTGATAGAAACCATATGTCAGATAGCAACTGTCTGCATTTGTTTAAGTTGCACAGTGCCTGGAGGCAGAAATGGAAGAAACTAAAACAATAGGCTAATATTTTAGACAGTAGGACATATTTACAAAATACAAAGTAAAATGATTTGGCAATGGTCCAGCCTATTACAAGAGTTTGAACAGCTAAACTGGATATCAGAGTTTCCAAAGCAGAAGACTTTGGTTTGAGTTATATAGGGTGGATTATCTAGGTTGACCATATTAATTGGATAATTTTATAAAACACTCAAAATAAACTCTTATGTCTCTGTAATAAAATGATTCCATATGTCCTCTTAATTATTTGTTTAGTTCTGATATTAAATATTCCAATAGTTTCAAGTACGTTTCATCCTGTTATTTCAAAACTTTGCCTGTAATATGACATTGTTTGGGTCTAAAAGAAGGAAATACTATATATCATTTTATTACACAGTAAGAGAATAAGAAGTCTTTGTGTGTGTGTGTGTCTGTGTGTGTGTGTCTGTGTTTGTGTGAGACTGTACTCACAATAATAACACCCTTTGAAGAAAATAGATACTAGCAGGTCATTTGTAAGTCTAACTTTCAAGTCAGATTGAGATGGCAGCAAGGTCATGAGAAAAGAGGAATTATGAGAGGAACAGAAACACAGGCCATCATAGCTAAGAGCAGGGAGTTTAAATGTATAAATGGAAAATTAAAATTGTTTTTCAGCTATCTACAGTTAGCATTTTATATTACCTCCTTCCAATCTTTTTGCATGTGAATATTAAAATAACAACAGTTATAATATAAAAGTTATTATGTTTCTCAGCTCTTTCATCTACATTTCAGCTTACTTGTACCAAGTATTGCTATTATTGAAAGCCTTCTTTAACATTTGTTTTTATTCATCCCAATTTATTCCTTACAAATATTTCACATTTGCTGTCTAAGCAGAACTTTCTAGTTTCATGGTCATAATTTGAAAACTATGAAATTTTCTTATCTGTATATGTCTTAACCAATGGATCTGAATATAAATGTGTTCAGCAGAAAAGGACAGAATAGCTCAATCAAGGAAAAGTTTTGTTTTTATTTTTTTTCATGACAGTGGCTGAGGAACTTGGGTTCTGTTACTAAACAAAGTGCCTGTTTGCAGGGTCAAGCATGTCCTCCCTAAGCAATACTTGACACTCCACAGACACGTGGTAAACTTAAGGCAGGCATTTTCAAACAAGATCATGTGGACAAATTTTATACGTTGATAACGTTCATTAGAGGAGAAGAGTGATAAATTACAAGAAACAAAGCACGCATAAATGATTTAAAAGGAATGATCCTTTACTAGACTGTTTCTCATATTTATCACTTCTCTTCATGCCCAGAACACAAACCAATCATGTCATTACTGTGACATTTTAGCAAAAATAGGGCCATCTTTTCCTCAATTTCCTTTCAATTTCCTTACATAATAACACGAATTTTGTCATTCATTGGTTTGATACTTTCAAGGATTCTTCATTTCTACAGAGTATCATCTATACTCAGCAGCTTGATTTCTGCCAGCCTCTCACTACTGCCCATGCACTACAAAGTCAATCTATGTAAATGACTCTTTACTATGAAAACACTAGCAGTTCCCAGCTGTGTTCTATTTTGATGGACTCCAGCTGTGTTTGACATACTCGTGGGTCTGTGCCTTATTTACACTCAAGGATCTATCCAGTAGCCGTCTTGTCCATGAAGCCTTTCTTAGAAGTTTCCCCTCAAAGCACCTAGTTCTGTGAATGGCATGTATTGACAATCCATAAATAATGATTTGTATTTAATTCACTTCCAGGTTCTTTTAAAATACTAGAGCTATATATAGAATCACTGGAAGAAAATTCAGAGATTATATAGCCTAAATTCTGAGTTGCATTTTTATAAGTAGACAACATTGATCTCACAGCCAAACTATAATATCTAATGCACATAATCTATTTATGATAAGGGAATACAGTGAAAAAATTGGTGAAAATATCCTTAGAGTTTCCAAATCAAATGAAGTCTTTGGTGTGAGTTGTATAGGGTAATTATCTAGGTTGACCACATTAATTGGATAATTTGGTAAAACACTCAAAATAAGCTTTCATGTCTATTTAATAAAATAATTCCTTATTTCCTCAAGTATCGGTTTGGTTTTGATATTAAATATTCAGTTTCAAGTGGATTCCATTCTATTATTTCAGAACTTTGTCCATAATAAGCTTTGAAAGAAAGGCATCATGTGGGTAAGGCAGTCCTATACTTGAACTGATCCTTGCGTATGGGTAAGGCAGTCATATACAGCAACCTTCTTAGAGCGGATTCAATCTGAAGAGTGGCATTACTTATAGTTAATTACAACTCTTTCTGAAATCTACTCTTATATGAATTCCATAAAGGCAGTTTTTTTGGTTTTATACAAGAGAAACTCCACTAAAAAAGGTGGCACTATTTTATATCTTATATCTGGCTGGGCCAATTAGAAAAATTCAGGAAAGTAGAACAAATCTCATTGGTTGCTATGTCTGTATGTTATCAGTTGGTATATTCTAAACAAAATACTATCTTTCTCATGGTTGGTCTGCCTAACCGCCACCACAAAAAACAGAACACCCAAGCTATATAAATAGAACAACCTAAGGGGTATAATGAAGAAAGAATTATGTTTGTTAGAATATAACAAAGCCTAAGTTTTCCATTTAACGAGCTGCATGAGTTTTTCGTCAGTTATCTAACTTCAGTGAATCTCAGTCTGTGCATTTTCAAAATGAATCAAAGCATTTGTCTTATTGAGAGATTAAACAAAAAATGTATGTGGAGGCTTTGTACAAGCAAATTTCCATCCCCATGTATGTCTACTTATACTGATGCAACTCATTTATCTCTATGTTTTAAGGAATTATAGGTTTTCCCCAATTAAGATTTTATCACAAGTTAGTCTTGGGGAGCTGCTATGAATTGGCAATGTATCTTATTTGAATGATTATTAATGAAAAATATGGAAATATTGTATGATGTCAACACACTTTGCTTTCTCTTGTCTTTTAGGAGCCTAAGTTGCCAAAGGATTACCTTGCACAAAAATCTGTTCTTCTCTTTTGTCTGTAACTCTATTGTCACGATCATCCACCTCACTGCAGTAGCCAACAACCAGGCCTTAGTGGCTACAAATCCTGTAAGTAAAGCAATGTTATGCCCTTAGGTTCAATGGGAAGAGGCAAGGCCCTGATATTTGTATTATGTGTATGATTAAGTATACACGTGTGCATGTTTTAAGTTCTGACATGTAGAGAACATATGTAACTATTTTCAATCCAGTAAGGTGAATATTTCCCAACATTCTCAAAGATATAAAGATTGAATATCAAAGGGAGGAATAAATGTCTTTGCTTGAATTGTTTATATATTCTAGACATATCTCTACCTCATTTTATGGCTATAGAGTCCTGTAGCTTGTGGGACATTAGGGTTTAGACTACCTAACATTTACCCAATTGAGTTTAAAAAATCAATCAAAGCAACTAAGAGTAGTACCAAAAAAGTTCATCAAAATGAAAAATTTTAATTAAAAAATGTTTTTGGTATCAGGCTGACTTAAAAAAGTCAGTAAAACCAGAAGATGAGAAATGAATGAGACATTTCCTACATTATAGTAAACTTTTTTAATATAAAATTTCAAAGGGATCTACCTGGTCTTCATTCTCCAAAGAGACATTTAAAAAATTGTTTCCTTCAAATCTCTTTGAAAGCACAATTTTTAAAATCTTTTCAGATAATTATATTTCATATCTAAATTTTGATTCTAATCTACATTTAGACGATTTTTGACACATATTTTGGGAAACTCAGTCAAATATTGTACCAACATTGATAGCACACAAATTTAAGAACAATTACCTGATTTACTGATATTTTAACTATTTTGTGGCTCCCTTAAGAACACTGTCACCCCATAAAGTGACCATCAGTATTCACTAAGATAACAATTACATGAGCACTATGTTGCCAGGCATTTTTCTAAGCACTGTATGTGTGTTAACATATTTAATCACCACACCAGCCCTAGAAGGTCAGTACTATCATTTTTATCATCAACACCATTTTACCAACGTGAAAACTGAGGAACAGAGAGGTTATATAGCTTCCTGAAGATCTCACAATCAATAAATAACAAAACTTAGATTTGACCCAGGGCAGTGTGACTTTAAGATGTGTACTCCTAACTCCTACTTTAAACTGCAAGGCAGATATGTGAACAATAAAAAAAAGCAATGCTCAATAAAGTTCTCTGTGAATTTTTTTTATACAAAGTTGTCAAACCATTGATAGTTATTACCAAAAACCAAAACCAAACCCACTGCCATCAAGTCGATTCCAACTCATAGCGACATTATAGGACAAAGTAGAACTGCTCCATAGGGTTTCCAAGGAGCAGCTGCAGGATTTGAACGGCTGATCTTTTGGTTAGCAGTCAAACCCTTAACCACTGCCCCTGATAGTTATTTTTTTATTTTTATTGTGCTTTAAGTGAAAGTTTACAGTTCAAGTTGGTGACCCTAGTTGTTCTCCCTATAATATGAAGGCACACTCCTCCTGAAAGCACAATTTTTAAGATGTGCCTCAAAAGAGTCACAAAAACAAGCACAGAGTCTGTCATAACATAAAAGCCAGTTTTTTAAAAACATGAGTTAAATTTTATCTATACAAATTTATGTACTTTATGCATGCTGCATGCATACATACACTGTATTTAAATCAAAATATCTGCATGTATAACTTAAACACATGCTCATTTTAAAAATCATCTGCTCTCATAAAGTTTGTAGTATATGTATATATACACATACATATTTGGATATGGATTTGTGTGTATATGTAAAAGTTCTTTTTTTTTTTTTTTTAAGACTAAGACATCTAGTTACTGAAATCAGGGAAGGGAAGGGATTTTCACTCAATCAGTTAATAAAAAACACTGTCATATGTGTGCTTTTAGGGTTTTTCCAAAATTCTAAAATTCCCTGCATTGTTTGCACATATGCATCCGGACTGCTTTAATTTTCTATGTGGTCCACTAAAGTCACCAGGATAGGAAACACTGGAGTATAATTAGCAATATAAAAGACTGGCCAATGTCCGGACATTTTGGAGTGAATCTCTGTAGGGCAAAGAGATTCAGAGTTTTGTCATAAAGTTGCAAAGCAATAGATTTTAATCCTTGTATTTACATACAGGAGAAGCCCAGTGGTTAAAGTGCTCGGCTGCTAACCGAAAGGTTGGTGGTTTAACCCACCAGCTTTCCGGGGGAGAAAGATGTGGCAGTCTACTTCCATAAAGATTTATGGCTTTGGAAACCTTATGAGGTAGTCCTACTCTGTCCTATAGGGTTTTTATGATTCAGAATCAACTCAATGGTAATGCTTTTGGTTTTGGTTTTTGGTATTTATATATGGGGATATTTTGTTTATCACACAAATTGCAAACTGTAGTACAGGTATTTTTAAATATTTCCTTAGAAAAATGTATTGTCTGTTTATACCACCAGTGCCCTACATCATATTTTTTTCTAAAGCATGCTTTAAGCTCTTTTTATCATAACAGTTTATAGATTTTTTTTAATGAAACCAGGAATTAGAATTCCAAATGGATATGAATGTCTAAAAATATTTTTAAATACACAGACAAGGAAGTTGAATGAAGTCTATCATTTCTATACAATGTACTTGAATAACTCACTTTTACCTTTGAGAGCACTTTGCTAATATAATGCTGTGCTTGATATCAAGGTGTATTACTCAAAATCTAAGAATGTTATACATTATTCACATGTATTTAATGAAGGAATAGGTTTTACAAATATCCTTCTATCAGGCATTGTGTATAGTGGTGAAAACAATTGGAATTACAGGATTTATGTTGGAGGTGTAGCTTTGATTGATGTTACATGAACATTAGAAAATCATTTAACTTCTCCAGTAATCAGTTTTTTTAATCTATAAAATATATAAATAGTGATAATGCATACCTTACAGAACTATTTTCAGGATTAAATAAGACAATGTATGTAAAAATATTTTGTAAGCTAACTCCTATGCAAATGTTATTGCCATTCTATGATAACTCAACATTTATTTTCCAGTGTATTTCATTTTCAATTTTCTATTTTGTGGAATGCTTTATTTAAAAAATATTGAGAATTACTGCTTAATATTTATTAAGTCTCAGAATGTAAATTGAACCTAATAGGGGAGATTTAAATTTATTACTCCTATTGAGGAGTAAACTGTATCTCTTACTCCCTTGTGTTTTCTTTATTTTATATTTGAACCTCTCTCTTCCTGTCTCCTTAAGAGTAAAGAAGAGAAAGCAAGGAAAAGAGGAAGGGAAATCATAAAATGGTCTTTTTTTTACCTACGTGAAACCCTCAAGCCTCCTATTTGAATAGCATAAGTTATGGGCCCATTAGGCTATTACTTTACAAATATTTGGACTGGTAGCCTATAATCTGCAGAACTTTCCAAGCATTGAGTACTTTTAACGAATTACTTTCATATATATTAGTATTTTTTCCAACAGCATGCAGTTATCAAGGGTTTATGCTAACATATTTACAATAAATCTAAATAGATATAAAACTATTCATGTGTGAAAATTTTATACTTATATAATAGCTAAAACTATATTAGGAAAATATGTATTCACTACATTAATAAATTTGGAAATATGAAAATCAAAGATACTCTAGGAGCAAAAATCACTTGTCAGCATATATTTATCTGTAAAATATGATAAACTACTAGGTATTTATATTTTTGTGTTTATATATATGCATACATTTGTAGCCCTGGTGGTGCACTGGTTAAGAGCTCAGCTGCTAACCAAAAGGTCGGCAGTGTGAATCCACCAGCTGCTCCTTGGAAACCCCATGGGGCAGTTTTACTCTGTCCTATAGGAATGCTATGAGTTGGAATCGACTCAAGGGCAACGGGTTGGTTTTGGTTTTATACATTTGTATGTAGATTTTATACATTTTTTGTGAGTTGTACCATTATAAATCTTTGGAGCCTGTGGCTAAAAAGTTAGAGGCATCATTAAATGAATATGAAGACTGGCATTTTACAGATCTGAATCTTTGGTGTATAAAAATTTGTGTAGAAGAGAGAAAATTCCATGTCCCTAGAAAACTGAGATAAACGAAACTATTGCTTTATATGTGAATTCATCAGCAACTAAATATAAATTGCATTTTTTTTCTCTCACAGGTGAGTTGTAAAGTGTCCCAGTTCATTCATCTTTACCTGATGGGCTGTAATTACTTTTGGATGCTCTGTGAAGGCATTCACCTACACACACTCATTGTGGTGGCCGTGTTTGCAGAGAAGCAGCGCTTGATGTGGTATTATTTTCTTGGCTGGGGTAAGTGCCATTACACACATCTGCTGCTTCACTTGACTGAGAATGCTTCTGGAGAATGAAAGTCTCCTTTGTAATAAAAATATAATTATTACCAATTATTTTTAAAGAAAATCGGTGTGTAACTTTTGCTTATTACTGTAAACAGATATTTAAAGCAAACTAATTTTCACAAATTTATTCATCATTTTCAGTAGTTACCAGTCAATTAGTAATACAAAGCTTTTTCTATTTATTATTCGAATGAATTAATGAATGTTAGCTTGAACATGTCGTAACTAGAACAATGGAATTAGAATCACGAGTAAGTGATCTAGTGTTTGCACTGCTCTGAATCTCTTTTTTCCTCATGTGTAAGATAAGGGTATTGGGCTTAACCAGAAAAAGGACATTTAAACAACAAAAAAATTAGCTTATAAAAGCATTTGTGACTTTTATGTTAAGAGTACAGGGGTCAATAAATGAATAACGGCATGCAAAAGATTTTTTTTTCCACACAATCTACTTGACATGGTATTGTTTGTAAAGCAGACAGAGATACACTTCTAGCATTAAGAAACAATAATGCAAAATATAAAATGTAGAAAATAAATCCAAGAAGATTAATTTCCAGAAACATAACTGAAATATCTATTTATCTCTATCTTGAGATATAGGTATAGATGCAGCTATAGATGTAGATATAGACAGGTATGCATACACAGACGCACATATACACACACATGTTAGCATTACCTTTAAAGAGAATATCTTCATTTCATGTTTGAAAGATCTAATTTAGGATGTTCAAATCAAAGGCCAAAATTTTGGTCCATGAACCATCTCTTTCTCCTTTTCCTTTTCTTCAGATAAAGACATTTCTATTAATCTTGTCTCTCATAGTGGAAATTCTAGCATTAAACTTATTGTCATATCTGAGCATCTGACCAATTCTATCTCACAGGCGAGGATGAGGAAAATGAATTCCCTCTAAGCCTCAAGGCTTAGGCAATACACTTATGAATTTAAGCTCTGAAGTTAGGCCACCTGTGCTAAACAAACTTAGATTAGAACAAAACTTACACATTATGCACAAACACAAAATACAAATACCTAGTAGTTTGTCATATTTTACTGCTTGACTAGTACAGATAATATTTACATAATAAATATGTTGACAAGTTATTTTTGCTTCTACAGTATCTTTGACTTTCATGTTTCATGAAATATTTTAGAGTTCCATCTAGAGAGAAATGTACCTGTTTACTTTCTTTTTTCATTGATATTTACAGGATTTCCCCTGGTTCCTGCTTGTATACATGCTGTTGCCAGAAGTTTATATTACAACGACAAGTAAGATAATCTGTCTTTATGATTTCTATTGAAACTAAGTGAAATGCAAATCTTCCACATTATTTCCCTGTGTTTCCCCCTAGCTGCTGGATCAGTTCTGATACCCATCTCCTTTACATTATCCATGGCCCGATTTGTGCTGCTTTACTGGTATGTCATTACAATTCTCCTTATTTTTCATCATTGCTATATTTCAGTGTTATTTCCTGAATCACCTGCTCTGTAGTACCTATAAAACCTACCAGAATCTCAGTAAGACACAGATGATGAGCTTACAGGCTTTAATTGAAAAGGGTTTAATGAAGGTGTTATATATGAAGTGTGGGCAGGACAAGCAAAGGGAACTCATAAAGGATGGCAAGCCACTCAGAAACCAGCTACACTGGGAAGCTGTTATCACCACTAGACTTGTACAGACGATAGACCAGTTCTGCTGGAGTTGAGCAAGTGCTGGGAGGGGTCGCTTCACTGGAGCTTTGACTTTGGGTAAAGGAAATACAGCCATTGTCAAAACCACAGTCTGACAGGGAAAGAAAAGGGGGAATGAACACCCACACTTCTCTCTCCTCCCATGCTCCTATCTGTTGGTTCCTTTCATTGACCAAATTCCTAAATGTCAGAGGGCAAAAAACCCTGGGTGAAGGTGCAGTCCATAGATGTCCTCCTCCGCACAGAGCAGAATAGAGAGAGGAGGAGGAGGATTTAGGAAATGGGAGTGGCAAACAGGAAAACCCAACACACTTATGTTGGTAATACGAGTAGTATTCCATTAAAGAAAAGTCTTTAATTTAGAAAAACAAAAGTATTATTTAAACTGTTACATTATAATAATCATCATCATCATTTAATGTAAGTACACTAATTGGACATTTCTTTTTTTAAGTATGGATGCAGGGAAACAGAGGTCCCATTCAATACTTTGATTTCATTGTTTAAATGAGGAAGTAAATTAATCCCAATTGGCATGTTTTCTCTCAGACCACATAAGAGATCAGACCATAATTACAGTCTTTTAGAGTGATACTTTAATTATAGGTAGTACTAATTATGTACAAAATGATAAAGGTGCTATGCTTCTCAGCTAAAATTCAAAGATTCCAGACTCTTTCTTTTTCAGACTTTTTTTTTTTAAATGAAAGTTCCTTGATGATTTTACTATATTTACTAGCTGCAATTTAATATATGGTAATGTAAGCATAAAATTCAAGTCATTGTCACAGCTGATACACTCATTAACAGAATAAACTGTAGAGACAGCCCGCCTGGGTTTCAATGCTGCCTTCACCTCTTAGTTGATGTGTGACCGTAGGCAATTTACTTAATCACTCTGTGCCTCAATTCCTCATTTGTTAAATCGAGAATGTCATAATAGCAACTTTTAAGTTTTTTTTAATAGGGATTAAAGGACTTAATGCATGAAAAGTACTTACCCTGGAATGTAGTAAGCGCTCAACAAGTGTCAAATGCATGGTTTGTGCCTGCCCACACTAGACAGCCAGTTCAAAGATCAACACATGGAATTGATTATGCCTATGGAACTGTTTTATATACCTTCGTGTATAATGAAAATTTCAAAGGCAGAAGCACTTCCTTCCCTTGCTCCCCCCATACTAGGAGCCTGTGTGACACACTGTATTTAAGCTGTGTGGTGAGACTGCCTGGCTTTGTATTCTTTGCCATCAAAGAGTCAGCTTTGAACCCTGGCTCTAGCACTGTTGGCTGTGTATTTCAGGGCAACTTCTGTTTTGTTTTGAACTCTGTGATTTTGTTTTCTCATCTGTAATTATGGAATAATAAGAATAAATAGCTCATGGACTGTCATAAAGATTAAATGAGGTATTTATTGTTAAGTGATCAGCACATGCCCAGAATATAATAAACTCTCAGGAAAATGCTTTAAAAAGCTCCTTCACTTGAAATTTCTGCGTGATACCATGATTCTGTACTGCGGGGATCTCAACAGAAATTAAGATACATTGTTTGGGCCGCACAGGATCTTCCAGAAAAACACAACACACAATTTTATTACAGATCTGACTGTATAGAGAAGAATGTGATTCAAGTTCCTAAATCAGAGGTTCAGGAAGTAAGCAAAAGCACCATCAAGTGAAAATTTTAAAAGCAACTACTACAATCCTTAACAGAACCCGTCCCCATCAACTTTGGAAGAGAAGAGTAAATGGTGCAGCTTGTGTAAAGTATCATATGGATTTATAGCCCACCAAGCTGCTCAATAAGAAAAGAAGTGAAAAATCCACATTATTTGAATAAAATTTTTTTCCACCTTCTTGGACTGAGAAAGATTAGGAGACTACTTTTCTACCAGGTTAAATTTTTCTGTCTTTGGCAAAGTTTCAGGACCCCTTACTGGTCCAAGCCACTTCCAATATCCTGGGAGGGGACCCTAGCAATTGTCCATGTTATCAGATGTTTTTGTACAATTTTCATAAAAAATATACTCAACTGCAATTACTTTCTTTTCACTCAGACTTCCTCTTTGTCCCATTTGTCTTTAAGTTGGGTGGCTACAGCATTTCTGAGATCACGTTAAGGGGAAGTTTAGAGGAAATACATTAACTTCGGGTTCAGTGAGAGACATTTAGGGCAGTTCTGTGTATAGGTTAGTGGTTGCTGACTGTTCTAGGACGCAAATGGCTTCCAGGAATCCTCCTACTGCTCCTGTGCTGATTCACCCTGCTTTCTGCCATGACCCAGGGGTGGTTGAAAGTGTCCTGTTGTGCTTGCCAGCTATCTGAACTTTGTGGGCGTTGGAGAAAAATCAAGTTTGAAATGCATGGAGCCAGAAACCATTCTGTGGAAAATTCTTCCAAATATTACAACTCTATAAGAAAGAAACTTTACAAAGATTTTCCTAAGTAGACGACAATCCTAAAATTTTGCATGATATTATCATTAAAAATGGTGAAATGAATTGAAAAATGGTTTTCTAAACCATCAATACAAAAAATAATTTTGAATAACCATATTGGAAAAAAACTGAATTATGTTCCTATAAAAAGATTTGAGAATTTTTTTTCTAGGAAGAGGAAATGAAAAAATAGGCAGCAAAAAATTGGAAAAATAAATTATGGGAGAAAGTCAAGCAGTTCATTAATTTTTTTTCTGAATTTTGTGATGTGTTTGGTATTTGTCAACTTATCCAGTTTTTAATTTGTTGTGATTTCTTTTCTCATTTTACAAAAAGATTCTCATTTATACCAAACTTTGTATTTATAATTTTATATTTTTCTTAAAGCAGAGTCCTCTTCCCCAAATTGTTTAAACTTCTTAAATCCACCCCTGGTATTTAGCATACATATTGCTTCCTTTGCAGTGACGACTGTACAGAAATATTATGTTCAGTGCAGAGACTTTGGAGAATACAAATCTGGATTTAGTTGTAGTTTTGGGCTTCCTGGCTATGTGATTTATGATAACTTATTTAATATCCCCGAGCCTGGATTTCTTTGCATGTAAAATGATAACATACAGAGTGGTTAGAAAGAAGATGAGGGAGGAGCAACAGCAGGAGGATACAGAAGAGGAAGAGATTCAGTACTTTTTGAGAATGTGCCTTTCCTAGGCACAATGCTAATTCCCTTGAAGATGTTAAAACTCACCAAAACATTCTCCTACATTTCCTGTCCCCTTTGCCAGGAACACCCTTTCTCATCTCATTCTGGTCCCTGCTCACCTTATCAGACAGACTTTTTCTGATCAAACTCTTCATTCTCCTTATATTGTTGGAAATCCCCACCTTTCTTACTTGTTTTATTTTTCCCTGTGTCACTTATTACCAGCTGATATATTGCACAGAATAATGGCTCCATGCCTGTTCTGTTCACTGCAACAGTTCCTAGGACAGTGCCTGGCACAGAGGAATGCCCAATGATATTAAGTAATTGAAATAATTGGTGATGCCGATTCACAGGGAAAAAATAATGTGAAGGTATGTTGTCTTGGTTTCCTTTATATGGAAAGTGATCAGTGAAAAGATGTTAAAAGGTACTTTTCTATAATGTAGTAAAACCCAAACCAAACCCACTGCTGTTGAGTCGATTCCGACTCATAATGACCTACTAATTTCAAATAATATCAATTAAAATGGCTTCTTTTTCACTTTTAATTTGGGTTAAAAACATAACCTGAACACATACTGTAGTAGACATTATTTTTTTAAATTATACTTTAGATGGAGGTTTACAGAGCAAAGTAGTTTCTTGTTAAGCAATTAATACACATATTGTTTTGTGACATTGGTTGTCAACCCCATGACAACACTCTCCCCTTCTCGACGGTGGGTTCCCCATTACCAGCTTCCCTGTCCCTGCCTGCCTTCTCATCCATGCTCCTGGGCTGGTGTGCCCATTGAGTTTTGTTTTGTTTTATGGGCCAAAGCTTCAAATAAACTAAATGTACATTTTAAATTGTTTTCTTTGAAGAAAAGTGCAGTTTTTCCAATTATTTTCTTCTTTTACTAATATTAAAATGATTATTGATGCCCTTTTTCTTTTTCCTTTTAAAAGTACCCCATAAACTTTTTTAAACTGGAACATTTTTAAACTGTCTTTGACATGTGGAAGGAAATCTTAAACCTACATAATTATTCGGTATTAAAATCTGACAGCAATTGTACTATGACCATTTGACTGAAATAACTTGCAATTTTTAAAATTCAGAAATTATGCTAGTCGTGATTATTTTTTAAATTATACTGATACTCCTTTTGCCTAATTTTCTTACATATGTTCTTTCAGATCTCCATTGATGATCTCTTTTTATACAACAATAGTTTTGACATGACCTCTTAAACTAATCTAAAGGGGACAGATGAGGCAAGAGAGGTGATTATATAATTAACCAATGTCACCGTTTCTGAAAATTATCATTCAATGTGATTGTAGGAGCAGTGCAGCAATGACTGGAGGCTGGAATGGCTTAGAGGCAAAGGGCTCCATATCCTTGATATTTCTTGAAGCTACATGGTTGTATGATTCTAGGAAATGATCAAATCACATTCAAATCCCAGCAGAAATGATGCTGCATTCATGCTCTTTGGCATGAAAAATGGAGAGTAGAATCTGTTCATCAGGGGAAAAAAGGTGCTAGTAATGCTTAACTTTCAGGCAACAAATTGAATACAATAATATAAATATTAAAGTTGTTAAATATCTGAAACATGTTTTCCTGTGGTAACTATCAACATGCATTTCAGTCATCATTTTTGCATCCTCAATCATTAAAATTTCAAATTGTGGGAGGATTTTGTCAACAGCTGGGCCTCATTTCTTTTAAGTATTTATATGTTTGTTGAATGCAGTTATAAATTTTTCTGGTTTTGGTTGTAAAGTGGATGAGGAAATACAATTTCTTGTCTCTTTATATTTAAGTCTTCAACTGAATTTTGCTTTTGTATCAATGACTCTTGGTGGCTATAATTATTTTTAAAATTTCTAGTCTATTTTAATTAATACTTCAAAGTGAGACATCAGGTCTAGCTTTCCAAAATTACTTCATTTTAATGATATGTTATTTTTAAATAATTCATAATTAACATATAATACTATTTCAATTTTTATGCAGTCTATGTTTCGTTTCTACATTTTAGACAGATAATTTATACCTGATATACTCAATTTCATAGCAGAAGAAAAATCAGAATAAGTTATATAATTTTGTATTTGTTCTCTTCTCCTTAACTATAAATATTCAACCAGTTTTGCTTTTAAATGAATGAGATTCAGATATAGTTTATCTGAAATTTAAAATTATTGCTCTATTTTCGTTTGGAATAAATGAAAGTATTTACGGAAAACAGAGTAACATGATAGCATCATAATTCTCAAAACTATGTTATGTGGAGAATGGCATGGAGAATAGTGTCCAACTCACTCGAGAACAACTATTTATAGAACACCTAACATAAGTATTAATCCCATTGTCAATTCTAGTTTCTAGTTTCACATGTTAAATCAGATTTGCTTTTTAAGAAGCACTTTGTATTTAGACATTTTCATATAATAGGGATCTAAACTGTAACATTTCTTTGTTATTTTCATCACACACATATATATATTTTATAATTATATATATTAAGATTGTAAAATATTCTACGTTATAAATGTATAAGCCAATAAAAGAGTATTTTTATCTGTCCACTATTAGTTGGTAGTATTTCTCACTTAGGCAAAACTTCTAAAACAGCAATGAACACTCGGGACGAGAATATATTGAGATGGGTGGAATAACAGCTGACATGTTGATTTGTCATGCTTCATTCTTACACCTGTTGAAATGGTTTATTCGGCTTTTGTCTTTAGCAAAGACATTCCAGGGTCTGTAAACTTGTAACTTTTCATAGATGTGTTTCCATCAGGATTAGTGTGGTATATATTTTTGAAGCATATGTTCCACTGAATTCTCTAAGAATAGTAATAGCTTATTTTTATGCCCCAATTATTTTCATAATGTATGCCTTAAATTAGCAAATGACTGTTATTAATTCATTTTTTTCTATATTAAATGTCATGCTACCATATAAATTATATAGTTGTCCGTAGTTTGAAACTTTTAGATTATTAAACAAAGGGTAGCTGCTTTAAGTTGGGGGAGATAGCAATTAGCCCTTAGTAACTCTCTTGTATTTAATGTTCATAATCCCATGGAAAGAAGTCCTGGTTGCACAATAGTTAAGTACTTGACTGCTCATCGAAAGGTAGGCGATTTGAACCCACCAGTGGCTCTGTGCTGAAAAGACTTGTCAATCTACTCGCATAAAGTTTACAGCCTGTGAAACCCTATAGGGCAGTTCTACTCCATCATACAGGGTCGCTATGAGTTGGAATTGACTCAATGGTACACAACAACAACAATATTCCTATTGAAGGCATACAGAAAAAGGAAAAAAAAGTAAAAGATACTGACTTGAATGAAAATAAGAAACAGAAAAGAAATAGTGTGTGAAAATGAAAGAGAGAGGGAGGAAGAGAGGGGGAGAGGGAGAGAGATGTGTTTCAGCAGTACTCAGTCCTAAGTCTTAGATAACCACACTATATTTTTGAAGTTTTATGTCTCCCTTTCAAAACGGATATTACTTCTTGGGAAAAGTTGTTAGAGCACAGTAAATATGTAACTAGAGAAAGTAATTAACAGAGGGCATAATGAGTACCAAAAAGACTTTAGCCATAGGATGATCTATGTTGAATATCAACTGGTTTAATTGTGTGACTCAGTCTCCTCAGAGAATGAAGAGAATTACAGTACTATCTTCGAGAGTTGTTATGAGGATTATTATTACAAAAAGAAACTAAAAGTTGATGAAAATGGTTATTATAGTATAGTATGTATTTGGAAAGTACCTAATGTAGATGTTGATACAGAAGAGCTGCTAAAAAAAATTTAGCGTTTGTTATAAACTATTATTTTTATTTGTTTCCGTTGAAGATGATCAAAAGCTTTTGTTTTGGGTCTATAACAAAATCCAAAAATTGTATACCAAAATGAGCTGACAAAAACTCTCTCAAATAAGATTTAGTAATTTAAAAGAATAACCTTCACTCAGTGTGCTCCATCATATATTTGCTTTTCTAAAACATAAATCCATTAAAATCGATGTATTGATGAATGAATAAATAAAAACTTCATAAATGCACATTAGTATCTTAAACACATCCTTGAACATTGAAAATATTCTAAGGTTTATGAAATTGGAGGTCCTTCAATAATTCTTTTTAATACTAAATATGAAATAAATCTTATTTTCCTTTTAGGTTAATCTCTTTTTCCTATTAAATATTGTACGTGTTCTCATCACCAAGTTAAAAGTTACTCACCAAGCAGAATCCCATCTCTACATGAAAGCTGTGAGAGCTACGCTTATCCTGGTGCCACTGCTTGGCATTGAGTTTGTGCTGCTACCATGGCGACCCGAGGGAAGGACTGCTGAAGAGATATATGACTACACCATGCACATCCTTATGCACTATCAGGTATGGCTTTCTTCATAGCAGGGAGGCACTAGGGAAATCTCATTTTAAATTTACATGTATCTTTGCTTTTATTTTTTTATTTTTATTTACAGCGTATGCAGCAACTTGTTTATAAAGATATATCTTTTTTTCATTTGGAGTCAGATAATTCTGTTTTTATCTTACAGGGTCTTTTAGTCGCTACAATTTTCTGCTTCTTTAATGGAGAGGTATGATAATTGATTTTATTCCTTTTATCATTTTATATTTGCAATATATTTTTGTCCTTAAAAAAGATAGAGACAGCATGAGAGAATTAAATTTCCTCAGTTAAAACTATTTCAAATTCCATTTCCATCAGGAAAAAAAAACAAAAAAAATGACATCTGTTTTTTCATAGGTGCAATTCTCTTTTACTAAAGCTCAGGTCAGATTGGACATTGAGTTTTGGCCAAAGTCAGTCTCACTTTAAAATGTTCCATAAGTGACTTTTATTCTTCTAGTCTTTTTGCATAGTTTTTAAACTAATACCATTAAGTGTGAACTTTGTCCTAAGTACATTTCTTGGAAATCCTTAACCTCATAGAAGATACACTCCAAGAGGAAACAGAGTCAGCTCATTTTTTCCTTTCTTCTGTTTTGCCTATCCAACCAAGTAGCCTTTGGAAACACTTTTCTGGTGGATGGGAAAGGATTTAAAAAATTAAACTCTCAGTTGTACAGGAAGGAGATGCGGTAGGTTTGGAAACTTAGGAGAATAAAATGTTTTAATTTGTAACATGGCAATGTATTCATGGATGTTTCTAGATTTTCACTGAAGGCTTTCCTAATTTAGAACTTTCAAGCATTTTGGAAATGATACTGTGTTTTTATATACATGAATAGTGCTATAGCTCATGTGCGGGTCCCTGAGTGGTGCAAACAGTCTATGCTAGTCTGCTAAGCAAAAGGTTGTCGATTGGAACCCACCTAGAGGCACCACAGAAGAAAAGCCTGGCAATCTCCTTCTGAAAAGGTTGCAGCCAAGAAAACTCTATGGAGCCATTCTACTCTAACACATGGGTCACTATGAGTCAGAACTGACTCGACAGCAATGGGTTATTTATTTATTTACTTATTTTGGTTTTAGGTTTGTTTTTGTTTTGTTTTGTTTTATAGCTCATGCTGTGAGTTATATTGATTAGCTCTTTGCATGTTTTTAAACTACTTGACAAATATTAACCTATAGGAGAGTTTTGGCAGAATTCACAAAGTTTAGAAATCCAGACAGCAACTGAATGAGACATGGACACTTGGTAACTATGAAGCTTATCACTAAGCTTCAGATGAGAAACACATGGAACCAGTCTGCATAACTTTATGAGAACCATTGCTATAAACCACATCAACTTTGAAAATTATGAACAGTTATGAAAAACTATAGAATATTGATTTTCTTTGCTTAAGTAGTATTTTAGTTCTTTCTCAAAATATGATAAAATTTACTGTTTAATTTTTTAATGTATAACTAAAGAACTGACAAACATAGCAAGCTACATTTCATACCTTTAGGTGGTGCTTCTATGATTCTTCTGGTATACAGATGACAAGAGGCACTGTTTTTCTGAAGTGAATGAGAAGTATAGGCAAAAAATACAATTAGGAAGAATGGATAAATCATTTGTTGTGATGATAAAGTTCAAATAACATTTTTTATATACCTCTATAATAATATATTGTTGTACAAATGGAATTAGATTATCGAATATGCTGCCCATATAACCTGTTGCCATCAAGTTGATTCTGACTTACAGCTACCTTACAGGACAAAATAGAATTGCCCCAGGTATTTTCAAGGAGCAGCTGTTGGATTCAAACTGCCAACCTTCTGGTTAGCAACCGAGCTCCTAAGCACTGGGCCTCCATATAGGATTTTACAATTAAATATAGATAAGAGTGACATGGACAAAATGCCAACCCACATGCATGAAATATAAAAGGTACACTTTTGTATCTACAGAAACAGATTTGTTTTTATAAAAGGTAATTTTTAAATGTACAAAACATAATCACTAGTAAAATATTTTGTGATAGGAGACAGTGTAGAACAAAGACAGTGACACAGAGATACATTTGAACCCCAAAGATGCCACTTTTTTCCAGGCTGTGGTATCTTGGGCAAAGTTCTGAACCTCCTGGGGTCTTGGTGTCCACCTTTATTAAGGCAAGAAAAGCATGTTCCTTTCAAGTCTCACCAGAATTAATGTAAGTTAGGGGATGTAAAGTTTTTAGCATTGTGCTCCATCCTCAGTTGCCAGTTGTTGCCCAGTTGCCTTCAGGTGGATTCCGACTCATAGCGACCACGTGTTGCAGAGTAGAACTGCACTCTGTCAGGTTTTCATGGCTGTTACCTTTCAGAAGCAGATCACCAGGCCTTTCTTTTGAGGCACCTCTGGGTGCCAACCTTTCAGTTAGTGGCCAAGCACTTAACTGTTTGTACCACTCAGGGACTCCTCCCATTCTCAGTAGATATCCAGTATATTATAGTCTTTATTAAAAAAAAAAAAAAATTACTGCCAAGTTGATTCTGATTCATAGCAACCCTATAGGACAAAGTAGAACTGCCCCACAGGGTTTCCAAGGCTGTAATCTTTTATGGAAGCAGACTGCCACATATTTCTCCCATGGAGTGGCTGGTGGGTTCGAACTGATGACCTTCTGGTTAGCAGCCAAGCACTTTAACCATTGCACCACCAGAGCCCCTTAGAGTCTTTATTAGATTTGTCAAATCACTCATTTTCAAAAGATACATGAACAAATGGGAACCATTAATCATATTGGAATTGAAATCTGAGATCAGCCCTATTATCTAGAAAGTGTGTCCAAGGAATAACTAAACTAATGCCTAACACTCTTGTTACACTCTATCTGTGTAAGCAAAAGAGACACAGAACCTTGATCATCTGCCATGACACAGAACCTTGATCATCTGCCATGTTGAGAAAATTTGGCATTGAAAAATTACAATAACATAAAATCCTCAGTCAAGACTGTTGCCAAATCTTTCAGTTCTTCACAACATCTCTAATATCTGTCCCTTTCTCCTCATCTCTAGAGATGCAATTCCTGTTTGTGTATGATTCATTTCTCATTTTAAGACTACTATAACCCCTCCCTTTTTGTCTTTTTGCCTCTCAGTTTTTCCCACTCTCTAAACATGAAGACACAGCTGCCAGGTTCATTTTGTGCTGTTCCAACTATGTCATGTACTTGTTAAAATCACTTGCTCAGGCTTTGTTTCCTTCTTGCTTTCCACATTAGGTCAAATATCTGCCTTTCTCTTAATGTCTCAATTTTTTTTTTTTTAATTCACACCTTTTATTTTATGTTTTAGCAATATCTTCCTGTTTTAATTTCTCACTAGTTATATGACTGTGACTTGATTAGCACTCAAACCACTTTAGTCACATCCCTAATCCACTCAGACAAAAATGTACTCTGTTAACATGGACTGGAGACTCCCCTCATCAGGAAGGGCCCTCCCTAGTCACATGTCTATACTTAACAACGCCTGAAAGTAGATATTTTTATGAAGTCAACACAAAGATTTGAGAACAACTGAACCTACGTTCTGTAATGCAAACTAGGCAGAATTTTTATACCAAAAAAAAAACCATTGCTGTTGAGTTGATTCCGACTCATAGCAACCCTGAATCCATCCATAACTTTTTCTTTTCTCTCTTTCCTTCTTATTCTGTACTCTCACTAATTATCTTCTCAGTCTCTTAATAAATATATTAATATAAAACTAGATGTTAAACATACAATCTTGTAAGTGGGGTCCAGAGTAAGTGTTTAACAACAATGCATACATATACATTATTAAGCTTCAAAGATAAGGCATGAAAAGAAAAATATCAATGGAATCTGAAAATGTGGGGTAATTTCAATGTATTTCCTAATATGAGTATGGTTTACTAATTATAATGTTTTGAATTAAATTAAAAATGAAATAATAATTAACATAAATATTTTTATAGTTATTTTATTGTGCTATTAAATACAATATCTTCTTTTCAATTAATGGATTATTCTTATTCCTTCTGCTTCTTTTTGATGTATAGGTTCAAGCAATTCTGAGAAGAAACTGGAATCAATACAAAATCCAATTTGGAAACAGTTTTTCCCACTCAGAGGCTCTCCGTAGTGCATCTTACACAGTGTCAACAATCAGTGATAGTCAAGGTTACAGTCATGACTGCCCTAGCGAACATTTAAATGGAAAAAGCATCCAAGATATTGAAAATATTGTTTTAAAACCAGAAAAGTTATATGCTTGATAATGGAGGGATCAGTGTTTAACTGTTTTGTACCACTCCTAGCTCAAGGACTTGGTTCCATGACTTTGTAGACAGAAGACTTCAATATTAAATGAATTTTTTGAATGCCACAAAGAAAACTCTCACATGAATTCAGTCCTGTGCTGGTAAATGTTTAACAACTAACTCTATAAGGGTAAAACCAACAACAACAGCAACCCTAATTTGTAGCATTTGCCAGTTTCCATGTTGTAAATACTCCCACTGTGGCCAATTCAAGCTACCAACTTGACCTCACTGAAGGTGGAATTGAGAAGAGATGAACACAGTTAACGCTTGTGAGCTGGTGTGAGCCAGCTCCAGCACACCACTGAATGAATTCATAAATGAGTAAGACTGCGAAAGCTCATTACACAGATTGGGCATGATTCTACTCATGCTGTCTAAAGAGACCACGCCTGTAGACATGGAGAGAAAATTAGCTTTAAAACAAACAAAAACTTCATCCCATATTCATTTTTTGCCCAGAAGGTATTCTAACCCTTTTTACCATTACGCTCTCAAATGGAACAAATAAAGAGTCCTGCTGGTTTGCCCTATTCTCCCCAAGAAAAATAACTGAGCAGAATTGCTGTGGGCTACTCATTTGCTGACACATCACAGTTATACCCTATGTCATATTTGCCTTTGAGACTTGGTGATCAGGATGCATGAGATGCAATCCTACTTCTTTATCATTAGGAAGACATCTTGGTCAATACTACAAAACCCCTTCTCAGCTACTTTCCTGTTTTACTACACAGGTGGGAGGGAATTAGTTTTCCTGTATCTGTAAATAGAAACTTTGTCCCTTCCATTTCTACTGTGTAAACATATTAGCAATCATTTTATATGAAGGGAATCAATGAAGAATTTATTTTCTTGGGAGTTTGTAAAAACGTTCTGAAAATAAGCTTGTAAATACTGTACTCTGTTATTCTATTTTCGAGTCTCAAATATATACAACCTACATTAAGTATTTTTTTAAAAGTAAATGCATAATGCAACAATGTATGCATGTCAATGTCTGATACTGTGTCTGGGCTGATTTTATAATAAAATAGGGTCTGGAATTCTATCTTTGGTAAATATTTTAGACAACCAGAAGCCAGCATCAGAAGTGAGATCTAAGAGAACAGAAACATCTATGATAAGATATAAAATATTTATTTAAAAAACTCAAGACCATTGTTTTATTAAATATATTAACCTTGATGATTCACACTTTAATAATAGGTGTGGTTGACATATTTTTCCTGTTATTTTGACGGGGAACTTACATTCTAATCCAGAAAAGGTAAACAACTCCTATTGTAATAAATGCTAATTTGCTACTCTTATGGATTTAACCCCATTAAAAATATTACTTTACTGACTTAATATATAAAGAAATATTGTTTTAGAAATGTTCCCATTTAATTTAAGAAAAAAAGAGAAACACTATGTATCAATTTACAATGTTCGGGGTTTTTTTTGAAAAATGGAATATTTTAATAGAACTTATGTATATGATAATACAAATCAGTGAAGGACTTGAATATGTTATTGAGGAAGAATTGGTATAGGAGGAGAAGTCATTGTATGTGTTTTTGAACTGTATCACTCTGTTAAAATGGATTAATGACTTAGTCATCGTAGGTTGTTTTCTAAGCACACAATAGAGGTGAGTTCAGATGTTATTTCAAATTGTCCAGGATAATTATCTAAATCAGTAAGAATTAACATATTTTTTAATGGCCTGGTCAATACATTTATAATTTATCTGTATATGTGAAGTTATTATTAAGTTAGTTTCAATTTTATGGATTTCATAGTAGCTGTCATAAAAAGGAACACTGGTGGTTCTGGACTTTCTAATATTTAAATTATACAACAATTCCTTTAAATAAACTCACCTTTTTGCTATTTATTATCCAAAGGCACAGATTCAAACGCTTTGCTAACATTGTTCACATATTTCAGCAAGTCAACCGTAAATGACAGTATAAAATGTTGAATTATCAAGACAGTGTTATGTTAAAACACTATTGTAATTTTCAAGTATTTTTTATTGTGCTTTTCTCAATATTAAGTTTAGATTAGATTTCTTCAATGGCCAGTGTTCAGTTCATACAGTTTTCAGGGGTAGGCCGTCTATGATTAATCAGTGTTAGTTCTTGACCTATATACATATGGAAGTAATAGTTTTAAATGTTAGACTTCTCTAAAGCTTAATTGCTAATTAATATCTTCATTATATCTTACTCATAAAGAAAAAGTAAAATTTGATACATTTTAGAAACAAACTACTTTACTATCAAAAACTAATCTGGGGGATTTCTAGCCTTTAAAATATAGGTCTGCTATTTTTACACAATTACTGGTGAAACATTCTAATCTGTCAGTTTTTGTTTTTTTCTAAAGTTATTTTCCAGTGCTTTTATTCATTAAATATCCTCCATACTGGAATTTACTGTTTGTTCAAATGTAATCCAATTTACATAGAACTAGTGGTAGCTGTGGCACTGCATTTATCATTTATAATTTTTTTTTTAATGTGAACTTATTTTAATTTTCCCTTGGTTTTAATCTGCTAATGGAAACCACTATTTCTGTAAAACATACTTTAGGTATTCTGAACAATTAAAACAACTCATATCTACTTAAAGTATCTATTTTTTTATTGTACTTTAGATGAAGGTTTACAGAGCAAACTAGTGTCTCATTAAACAATCAATACACATATTGTTTTGTGACATTGGTTGCCAACCCCACAACTTGTCAACACTCTCCCCTTCTCGACCTTGGGTTCCCCACTACAGGCTTTCTTGTCCTCTTCTGCCTTCTCCTCCTTGCCACTAGGCTGGTGTGCATATTTAGTCTCATTTTGTTTTATGGACCAGTCTAATCTTAGGCTGAAGGGTGAACCTCAGGAGTGACTTCATTACTGAGCTATAAGGGTATCCGGGGGGCGTGCTCTCAGGGTTTCTCCAGTCTCTGTTAGACCAGTAAGTCTGGTCTTTGTGTGTGTGTGTGTTTTAGAATTTTGTTCTCCATTTTCCTCCAGCTCTGTCCAGGATCATCTATTGTGATCCCTGTCAGAGCAGTCAGTGGTGGTAGCTGGGCACCATACAGTTGCGCTGGACTCAGTGTGGTGGAGGCTGTGTTAGTTGTGGTCCTTTAGTCCTTTGGACTAATCTTTCCCTTGTATCTTTGGTTTTCTTCATTCTCCCTTGCTCCAGATGAGGTGAGACCAGTGGAATATCTTAGCCGATCACAAGCTTTTAAGATCCCAGACGCTACTCACCAAAGTAGAATGTAGAACATTTTCTTTATAAACTATGTTATGCCAGTTGAGCTAGATGTTCCCCGAGACCATAGTCCCCACAGCCCTCAGCCCAGTAATTTGGTCCCTCAGGGAGTTTGGATGTGTCTATAGAGCTTCCATGACCTTTCTATGTACAAGCTGTGCTGGATTCCCCAGTATTGTGTACTGTCTTACCCTTCACCAAATTGATTACTTATCTTTTGTCTATTGAGTGTTTTTCCTCCCCACCCCTCCCCTCCCTTGTAATCATAAAAGATTGTTTCTTTTTGTGTGTAAACCTTTTCATGAGTTTTTATAGTAGTGGTCTCATGCAATATTTACCCTTTTATGATTAACTTATTTCACTCAGCATAATGCCTTCCAGATTCATCCATGTTATGAGATGCCTCACAGATTCATCATTGTTCTTTATCGTTGCGTAGTATTCCACTGTATGTACCATGATTTGTTTACCCATTCCTCTGTTGATGGGCATATAGGTGGTTTCCATCTTTTTGCTATTGTGAACAATGCTGCAATGAACATGGGTGTGCATATGTCTATTCGTGTGACAGCTCTTATTTCTCTAGGATATATTCCTAGGAGTGGGGTTGCTGGATCATATGGTATTTCTATTTCTACCTATCGTTTTCCAAAATGGTTGTACAATTTTGCATTCCCGCCAGCAGTGCATAAGAGTTCCAATCTCCCTGCAGCCTCTCCAACATTTGTTATTTTCTTTCTTTTTTTGGGATTTGTGCCAATAATGTCAGGGTGGTATCTCATTGTGGTTTTGATTTGCATTTCTCTAATGGCTAGTGATCTCAAGCATTTCCTCATGTATCTGTTAGCCACTTGAATGTCTTCGTTGGTGAAATGTGTGTTCATATCATTTGCCCATTTTTTAATTGGATTTTTTGTCTTTTTGTTGCAGAGGTGTTGTATTTTCCTGTAGATTTTAGAGATTAGAACTTTGTTGGATTTGTCATAGCCAAAATTTTTTCTCCCAGTGTGTAGGTTTTCTTTTTACTCTTTTGGTGAAGTCTTTTGATGAGCCTAAGTGTTTAATTTTTAGAAGATCCCAGTTATCTAGCTTATCTTCTGGTGTTTGTGTATTGTTAGTTATGGTTTGTATCATGTTAATGCTGTGTATCAGGGCCTCTAGAGTTGTCCCAATTTTTCTTCAATGATCTTCATAGTTTTTGGTTTTATATGTAGGTCTTTGATCCATTTTAAATTAGTTTTTGTATATGGTGTGAGGTATGGGTCCTGTTTCATTTTTTTGCCGACGGAGATGGACATCCAGTTTTGCCAGCATCGTTTGTTAAAAAGACTGTCTTTTCCCCATCTGATGGACTTTGGGCCCTTGTGGAAGATCAGGTAATGGTAGATGAATGGATTTGCATCTGGGTTCTCAGTTCTGTTCCATTGGTCTATGTGTCTGTCATTGTACCAGTCCCAGGCTGTTTTGACTTCTGTAGCTGTATAGTAGGTTCTGAGGTCAGGTAGTGCAAGTCTTCCTACTTTATTCTTCTTCAATAGCGCTTTACTCATCCGTGACCTCTTTCGTTTCCATATAAAGTTAATGGTTAGTTTTTTTTGTCCCTTTAAAGAATACTGTTGGTATTTGGATTGGGATTGCATTGTATTTGTAGACTGCTTTGGGTAGAATTGACAATTTCACAATTTTAAGTGTACCTATCCATGAGCATGGTATGTTTTTCCATTTATGTAGATCTCTTTTGGTTTCCTGCTGTAGTGTTTTGTAGTATTCTTTGTATAGGTCTTTTACATCCCTGGTTAGATTTATTCCTATGCACTTTATTTTTTCTAGGGGCTCTTATAAATGGTATTGTTTTCCTGATTTCCTTTTCAACATTCTCTTTACTGGTGTATTGGAATCCAACTGATTTTTGTATGTTTATCTTGTATCCTGCTACTCTGCTGAACCTTTCTGTTAGTTCCAGTAGTTTTCTCATGGAGTCTTTTGGGTTTTCTATGTATAATATCATATTATCCACAAATAGGGACAGTTTTACTTCTTCCTTACCAATTTGGATGCCCTTTATTTCTTTTTCCTGCCTTACTGCTCTAGCTGGACTTCTAGCACAATGTTAAACACCAGTGGTGATAAAGGGCATCCTTGTCTTGTTTAAGGGGAATGTTTTAAGCCTCTCTCCATAAAGAATGATGTTGGCTGCTGGTTTTGCATAGATGCGCTTTATTATGCTGAGGAATTGCCCTTTTATACATACTTTATTGAGAGTTTTTGTCAGGAATGTGTGTTGGACTTTATTGAATGACTTTTCTGCATCAATTGAGGTGATCATGTGATTATTTTATTTATGTGGTGGATTACACTGATTGATTTTCTAATGTTGAACCATCCTTGCATATCTTGTATGAATCCCACTTGGTCATGGTGTATTATATTTTTGATATATTGCTGAATTCTATTGGCTAGAATTTTGTTGAGAATTTTTGCATCTATATTCATGAGAGATATTGTTCTATAATTTTATTTTTTGTGGTGCCTTTGCCTGGTTTTGGTATCAGGGTTATGCTGACTTCATAGAATGAATTCAAAAGTATCCCTTTAATTTCTATATTCCGAAATAGTTTGAGTAGTACTGGTGTAAGCTCTTCTCTGACTGTTTGGTAGAATTCTCCAGTGAAGCCATCTGGGTCAGGGCTTTTTTTGTCAGGAGTTTTTTTAATTACCTTTTCAATTTCCTCTCTTGTTATAGTTTTATTCAGATTTTTAACATCAGTTTGTGTGAGTTTGGGTAGGTAGTATGTTTCTAGAAATTTGTCCATTTCTTCTAGGTTTTATAAATTTGTTGGAGTATAGTTTTTCATAGTACTCTGTTATAATTCTTTTAATTTCAGTTGAGTCTGTTGTAATGTTCCCCATGTCATTTCTTATTTGGGTTATTTGCATCGTCTCCCATTTTTCTTTTATCAGTTTGGTCAGTGATTTGTTGATCCTCTCAAAGAACCAACTTTTGGTTTTGTTAATTCTTTCTTTTGTTTTTCTATTCTCTATTTCATTTATTTCTGCTCTGATCTTTATTATTTCCTTTCTTCTGGTGACTGTGGGCTTCTTTTGCTGTTCTCTTACTATTTGTTCGAGTTGTGTAGCTAATATTTTGATTTTGTCCCTTTCTTCTTTTTTGATGTGTGCATCTATTGCTATAAATTGACCTCTGAGCACTGCCGTTGCTTTGTCCCAAAGGTTTTGATATGGTGTGTTTTCATTCTCATTTGATTCTAGGAATTGTTTTATACCATCTTCAATTTCTTCTATTACTCAGTGGTTTTTAAGCATGGTGTTATTCAGTTTCCATATAATTGATTTTTTTCCCTTGTTCTTCCTCTTATTAATTTCTACTTTGATGGCATTGTGATCAGAGAAGACACTGTATTATCTCAATGTTTTAGATTTTGTTGGGGGT